AAATGGAATTACAAGCAAAAATTTTGTCAGTACACAGCGCGATCACTAACGTCGGGACTCGAAAATACGTATCGAATTTTTCGGCTTGGAAGACGCACCCTGATTTTGGAAATGAAATTCTAAAAAAAAAAAAATATGGGTTTTAGCCCACCTGGGCACAGGTCACTGACCCTCATTAGGCGAAAAAAAAAAAAAATATAATAATAAATAAATAATAATAATAATAATAATAATAATAATAATAATAATAATAATAATAATAATAATAATAATAATAATAATAATAATAATAATAATAATAATAATAATAATAATAATAATAATAATAATAATAATAATAATAATAATAATAATAATAATAAATAATAAATAATAAATAATAATAATAATAATAATAATAATAATAATAATAATAATAATAATAATAAATAATAATAAATAATAATAAATAATAATAAATAATAATAAATAATTAATAATAATAATAATAATAATAATAATAATACAAAAATGAAAAAAAAATATCAAGAGTGAGAAACACTATACCTGTATGTATGTTGTGTTGTCAAAGTAAGAGAAACAATTGAGACCCTGCAGAAAGTCAGATCATCAACCTGGAACTTGGTCTCACAGCAGCAGGGTCTACCATTAGACACACACTTCTTTGAATATCATCACTTAGAACTGCTTATCAGTCGTCATTTTCATCAATTTAAAAAAAAATCTGTATAAGAAGGTGAAATCTTTAATACAGCACTCATTTTATACACCTGGTCACCTCCACATCTTAGGGGCTGTAGTGTTTACATTTTTTCTCTTGTTTTTGTCGGTATGACAAGACGGGAAATATTTTCCAACAGTAGAAGGTAAGCAAATGTAAACATGTATATCAACGTCTATATAAAACAAAAAATCTTTATTTAAAAACAAAATAAAAGTAAAAAAACAACTCATTTTTTTGCAAACCCAGTGACTGATTGGTTCTACATAATTATAAAACTGAATAAAATAAGTCCTCCATTGTAGCTGTATTAAAATTAATGTAGAAAAATTAATATGGCTGTTTTAAGTAATGTTATTTAATGTTAATAAATGGAACAATGGAAGTAGCTAACAATTAAGGGTAAAAAAAAAAGTGAGGTCGTGTATGTAAGTGAGCACATGTGTAAACATATCATCATTACTCTTCATAAGAATATGAAAGTCACACTTATTTACTGTTCATATATATTTTAATTAATGTTTCTGAATTAAATAAAATATCTACCCACCAGTGGTAATAAAGTTGAAAACATAAGGACAGCCAATGTTGTTGTATGTGTGTATTTACTTGGATGACGAAGGTGTATTTAAATTTGGAAGATTTAATTTTGTGGGGTTTTTACAGTCTAAATGGGTATCCAAATATGAGAGCCTACTGTAAATAGGTGTCCAAATATGAGAGCCTACATATAAAGAAACAAACATTCCTGCATTTGAGACCAGCAGACAACCTGGGCGTACCAACGGTAAGGAGGCGTACCATATGTCCCAACGGGATGAAGAAAATGTACTAGTTGAGACTGTGTGTGAGAAGGACCTAGGTGTGTATGTTGACAATGAGCTGAAGTTCTCGGGCCATTGTGAGAAGAAGGTAAATCAGGCAAATAAATTATTGGGTCTTATAAGAAGGTCGTTCAGATATCTAGACGGTCCGTCCCTCGTGACGATCTTCAGGAGTGAAGTGCTTCCCCATCTGGAGTACTGTCACCCCATCTGGTCCCCGAGATATGCTAGGGACTGTCAGTTGGTTGAAAATGTTCAAAGGAGGGCCACCAAGCTGGTGCCTGCACTTCGGCATCTCAGCTACCCTGCGAGATTGGAGCGCCTGAACTTGCCTAGCTTATACTACAGACGGGCAAGGGGGGACCTAGTTGAGGTTTATAAGCATCTCAGGGGGCACTACTCAGTTGAGTGTCCTTACTTGGAGCTGGCGGACGCTCGCCCCACAAGGGGTCACAGCTCAAGATTGAAGAAGCCGCAAGTCCGGAAAACCGTGAGGGCAAACTTTTTCGGAGTGAGGGTTGTAAACTCTTGGAACAATCTACCAGAAAGTGTTGTGACGGCACCGAGTGTGAGCTCTTTCAAGAGAAGACTTGACCAACACTGGAGCGGGTTCAGGTACATTCAGGAGCCGGTGCATGCCCAGTATTTGCCAACAGTGCGTGACAGAGACGTGACCGATCGCCCGGGCGGCTAGCGAGCCGACCTTTTGGTGAAGAATATAAAGGAAAAGAGTCGTGACCGATCGCCCAAGCGGCTAACAAGCCGATCAGTGGCGAAGAGGATAAAAGTAAAAAAGTAAAAAATTCAATATATGGCCCTGCCGCACCACTGCCATCAGTAAACAAACCACACAGCAGCAAGGGTTTATTAATATTTTTTTTCGCAATATATCAACAATATTAGTTAAATCAATAGTTTTATAGTACTGTATAGAGAATACTTGTAATTGTTTAAGTACTGTAATGAGGTAACAGTCTTAGTAAGGGGCTGATTACAAATCCTCTGCTACAACTCATCGACTAGCATCCTGGAAGACGCATGGTAATTTTCGAGTTATATTTTTGTCATAAAAAGTGCGTCTTTTAAGCCGAAAAATACGGTAATTAGAAAATTATTTTATACGACTGCGGCGGTCGTATGTCCGGGTGGTTGTAAATCGAGTAAGTTGTAAGTCGAGGAGTACCTGTACAGTGGAGTCTCACTTGAGCAGTTATCGCTTATGTGATTGGTTGAAATGTGACCATGGTTATAGCTTACGCAGGTAGTGGTATCGCATTAATTTTGTGCTCTTTTGCTTATTCAGATTACTAACAAAAAAGGAGCTTTAGGTTACTTGAATTACCAAAAAATTCGGTGCTTGAAAGATGGGGAGTGCTTGCAACATTGTTTAGGAGAGTACGAACGATCAGCTGGTCCCTCGGTTAACGAGCGCCTCGGTTAACAAGATTTCGGTTAACGAGTTACCTTCCATAAGATTCTTAACTTCGGTTAACGAGCAATCCCTCGATTAACGAGTTTCTTACGAGACGACCACGACATGTTTTCACTTGCATTTGGCGGTCCACCAGCTGTAGTATTAGTCCGCCAATACAGTAATCGGTTCTAGGGCTTAAATTCCTTACTATTTTAGTAAATATCAAGAAGTTTATACTATTCAATAATTTTAAAAGTTTAATATTAAATTTTTTAGTCATTTTAACAATTATTGAACATAACTATAGGTAAGGAAACTAGTTTTATGTATGCCATCTAGCCTGTCAACACAGCAAACTGGCGCCAGTCTCTGTCTTTTCAGTGGAGGTAACATCTTGCTTGAGACTCTCTCCAGCTAAACACTTTTTTTCTGTTTCCAAGCAAATTATTGGTCATTTTGAAATTTATTTTATATATTGACTATATATAATGCAGCACAGTGTTGGTTTAAAGAAAATAATCTTTAATTACACCAAGAGAACTAAAATTTTATGGGTGAAATGGCACCATGGGGTGACTTCTCTTCCACCTCAATGCCTTCTCGTCTTCCTTCTCCTTCACCCCCATTCTAATTCCCATCATCATCATCATCATCATCTTCCAGGAGCCTTGTACAACACACCTCAAAGTAAGTGTACTTTTCTAACTTTTTTGTTGAATTTAGGCAATTTTCGGTGAGCTGGAACCAATTACCCCAAAACCCATTGAAACAATGGTTTCGGTTAACGAGCAACTTTCTGGAACGGATTGTGCTCGTTAACCGAGGGACCACTGTATACTGTACAACTTATAGCTGAAACATTCAAGATCCAGTTGAGAGCAATGTTGAAACCTTCAACTACATTTAATTGTAGTGAAAACTGGAGCAACAATATGTTTTGAGCTGGCAAGGCCTGATAGAATTCACTGATCCTGCTCTCGTGAAGTTACATCATCACTGTTCGTAACTGAAGTTATATTTCTTTAGTTTACAGCTATTAGAGGAACTGATGACTATTGAAATGCAGTAAGTCCTCACTTAACGTTGTTTCGGTACTACTTCGCTAAATTTTTGAGACGGAAAATTCGTTTAACGTCCCTGTGGTTGGTAAGTTGTTACACAATTCACGAGCGTACGAATGCTCAAACTATAACTCTTAACAAACATAGCAGCAGCTTGTTTAATTAAATAATGAACAAAATAAACTTATTTAACAAAAATACAAAGGACTACTGGGACATTGATTACATACCTGTGAGGCACACGAGTTCAGTGTTCAGAATGGCACCCTTCTCCTGCAGCCACTCCGGCATTCATATGGAATGTGTATTACTCTGAAGCATGTGCACTTGTATTAATACAAGTAACACCTATAAGAATTTAAAAATATTTCTTAAGACTACTGGTTGTGGTCAGATAGGAACTGCACAGCTGCTATAATGTGTGTGAGAACCAAAGGTCATTGACCGACATCGCAGCCTGGGGAACAAAAATGTAATATAGTAATAATAACAAGAATAATAATTAGTTCAAAGTAAATAAAATTTATAATAAAAATACAAAATTAAAAATAAAATAATAACAGTACTACTACTAATAAAGAACTATAAAGAAATACAAAAATGAAAAAAAGATCAATAGTGAGAAATGATATACAGTATATGATGTGTTGTCAAGGTAAGAGAAACAATTGAGACCCTGCAATTGTGTAAATGAGGCAGAAAGTCAGATCAGCAACCTGGGACTTGGTCACAATTTTTGTGATGCCATATGGCAGCAGGGTCTACCATTAGACAACATATTATGCTTCCTATATCATCCTAGGTGGTAGTACCTCCCTGTTTGGTAGCTGCCTACTACCTTGGTCACCTGAAACACCCAAAACCAACAATCTCTTGGTCACCTGATACAATACCTTTAAAGATGTGTATTTAACTTGCATTTTGATTTGACTATGGGACATGTACAGTCGACCTATTATGAAGGTTATTGATGAAAAATATTTATTTATGCTTATATTTCATACAAGTATTTACACTGGATATCTTCAAAACAAGTTATGATACTTTATACAAATGGACTTTTATGAAATCACTTTTGCACCAGATGTATCTTATTTCTCTAATCTTAACAATCAGATTATTGTTCAAGGCTTTGGATAGGTATTTTAGTTTTCAAGATATAAACTAGTTTATCTCCTAGCTAGCTGTGAATCAGGTACACAGCATCTGAAATTATTCCTATTCTTGTGCTTTGAAGACATGTTTTCTAATAAGTTTAATATATTACAAACAAAGAATTGTCAGAATTTAAACCGATCATAAATCCAATTACATTTATAAAAATATAAAAAGTTATGCCTGAATCAACACACACACAGCAACAACAAACTGAATGAACACAATTATGAACTTCAAACTGGATGCACAAGTGAAAATGGTAATATTTACACCACTGGTAAGAGTTAGAAACATGACAATAGACACAGAAATCTGAGCAATAAAACATTAATTAAAAATATTCAGTTATAATACATACACATATGTGTATGAAATATTGAAACTGGGTTTAGGTGAAATCTGGATCAAAACTGGCTATAGGTTGCAATGGCACAATCTTGCCTGTAGCAAGAGAAAGAATTAATGAAGGGAATATCAGATCTAAAGTAGTTCATAACATGCACATATGAGGAAAAATATTTGGAATGTAACCACAACAAGTTCTTGGTAGAGAGCAGAGGCAGCAGTTCATAATGGCAACCCATATTTTCATCACCACCCAAGGATCCAGAGCTGAAGTCGAAGGTTGAAGAGTATAAACACCTCTAATTGGCTGAAAATGTTAACCATTCCCCGAGTGGTGATTACAACTGGCGTTTGTGAGGGAGCTACTGCATCAGATGAGAGGTTGATCTTTGGTGTTTAGGGATGTGCAGCATCAAACTTTCTTCAATACCTAGTAGGGAAACAGGAAGCTTACAAGTCCTCTAAAGATATATTGGCAAAATTTATGAACTTATTAAGTGGATACATCTATGTGTTCATAACATACAATGATTGTGATTGCATATGACTTTAATAAGAGTAATAACTACAAGTTAATAATCGGAAGATAAAATATAGTCAGAGAAAGTTACTATACGTAAGTGCTTTAACAATACAGTATAACAAAATCATTTGTTTCATTCATAACTACCAAGACAATAACATTTTATATTGTACATTTTAAATCCAAAGGAATTGAGTGTTCATGAGCTTTTACAGTAAACACTATAGAGAATTTTAGTACAATTTAAAGATAACTATAACAGAAATGCAGAACTCAAGGTTCACTAATTCAATTGACATCATGCAAATTCATTATGGAGTGAATTACCTTCACACATGCTTGAAAGATGTCATGGACATACATACAAAACACCTATCAATATTCCTTACCTTTCCTTCTTCTCTTCTCTTGAACTTTGTCTAATAACAGCTGGCTTGGCACTTGTAGGCGAGTCTCTCTCAAATATGGCTGCCATATCCCTAATTCGTCTTTGCTGTCCAGAGTTTCCCCTGGCAGCTGCATTTCCAGCAGCAGTCAGTTCACTACTACTCTCTCCTAATTTACTTGTAGATTTCTTAGAAACACTGGTCGGAGAGGTAGGAGTTGCTTTTGGAATGCCAGGAGAAGAGATCGATTTTGAAGTTCCTGGGGATGATGGGACTGCTTTGGGAATGCCAGGGGAAGATGGGGTTGCTTTTGGAATAGAAGTTTTTCGTACAGGAGAAAGAGGTGTAAGAGTAGAGTTTTTCCTTGTTGTTGAATCCTTTCCCAACTTCTGTTCTTGCTTAATACTCATAACTTTTTCTGCTTTAATCTCTTTTTCTAATTTATCTAAACTAGTAAGTTTTTCTCTACTCTTACTCCACATAGCAGCACGTTCTTTAACATTAATATCTTCATCAATGTCCTCCTTAACAGTCTTGTGACGTCCACTTCCCCGAGTACTACCTGATCTACGAAAAGGTGGAGTCCCAGAGGGAGATTTTAATGGACTAGTTGGTGACGAATTCTTTCTTGATGGACTAGACTTTGAATCACCAGTGCTAGAACGTCGCTGTAATACTTCCTTGTCTGGAGATCTCCTCAAGCAAGAACGTGGACTTGTCAATTCAGTTGGTCGACTGCCACCACTGCTGCTATTGCTGCCACTACTACTGCTTCTCTGGAAAGTAGGAGTTGGACTTCCAGTTGAGAAGCGATTTCTTGTGGGACTCTTCAATTCTCCAACTCTTCCCATGTCACTGAGACTTCTTCTAGCAGGCGAATTTCTCTTAAATACCAAACCTTCACCTTCTCCTTTTCTCTCTGGTATAAATGTTGAGTCCATGCTATATTTTTCAACAACCACAACATTAGTAGTTCCTAACTGTTTGGTTGGGCTGGTTCTCCCTGAATATACCTCGTGAAGTTGTTTTGATGGGCTAATGCTATCTCTCCTTCCAGAAATTGTGCAACCAGTATCTGATCTTTGAATAATTTCACCTTCGTCCTCACCATCGTCATCATCTTCTGGTCGAGATGGACTTGTTGCCTTTTGTTTAAGTCTCAAGATCATCTCGTCTTTTTCTCCACCACGGAAGCTCTCCGATTTGTACTTTTCTCTTAAATACGATCGTCTTTCCTTTTTGTATTGTTCAATTCTCTCTCTCTTTTGTGGGTCCATATCATCAGCATTACTAAGGATGTTGGCAAGTTCTGCTACAGTGGTATCCTCAGCCTCTTTTGTTGCACTTTCCTGAAGAACAATGCCAAACTTATTGTCTTTGGCAGTTGATCTAAAATCAGGGGAACTCTTAAATCTTTGGATGGTGGGAAGCTGTGAGGGCAACATGGGCTTAGATTCAGTCAATTGCTTAGAATCATAAAAAGCAGACCCAGCAGACAACACTGATTCACATGTTCCATCTTTTGTAGATTCAACCTGAGATTTAACTTCACCTAAATTATGGTGAATTTTAGGTTCAATTGAGTGACCTGATTCAGCTTTCTGACACTGAAAACTGAAGAGTGACTGACTAGGCTGGAAAATCTGGGAATGAGGCACATTTTCTTCAGTTGGTGTAGTCTGAGCAGATCCACCACTGGGAGTGCCTGGTGTTGCAGGAGAATCTGGAGAGATGGATACAGATGATGGTGTAGAGACGGGGGAAATTAATGGCGAGGTTAAGTTGGGTTTAGGTAATTGACGAGGTCGTGGGACTGGTGGACCAATAGGAGCATAGCGAGGAGTGGTCCTGGGCTTAGGAGCAGGACTAAAAATGCTTGGTAGTGGTAAAGCTCTATTTGGGGTAGACGTTGCAGCTGGAGGCACTGGAACATTCTCTGGAGTAGGTGGAGAAAGGCTTGGCAAAATGGGTGGCATGGTACAAGGAGAAGATGAGCAGTGATCCAAGGTCTCTTGTAGGGGTTTAGGAGAACTGGCATCATCACTACTCACTGGAGATGTAACATCATCTGTGGTGGATTCTGTTGGTGAAGCAAAAGATGGTAGAACCAAGACCTCAGTTGCCATGCTTACTGATGAGGGAGTAATGGGCGAGTCTAAGCATTCACTATCCTCACTAGGCTGAGTATATAGTTCAGCATCTACTGCAGTCCTCTCAGACTCTGGTATAAATTCCTGGGAACAAGGCAAGGATTCACATAATTGGGAAACACTTAAGTTGCCCATTTGAGGCACCTTAACTGGAAGCTCTGAAGATTTATCAGGTAAGCCCACTGTGTGTGCAGTTGTACCCATTTCACTATTACCCACAGCACCACCACCTGATTGTTCTAAAGCATACTGATTTCCATCATTTACCTTAAGCATTTCATTTACCTCTTGTATAGATTTCCTAAGAAACTTAACTTGTTGGTACACCATTTCCCCCTCAATCTCAACTTCAGATTTTTTATCGTCACTTACAATTTTTTCAGATACTGTAGAGACTGAAGAGCTAAACTCTATATTTTCATAATTTGGCTGGTCTCTAAATGAATATTCTTCATAGGCATCATCTGCATCAGGCACAATTTGGTCTTGATCATCACTACTCTCCTCTAAGTTTTCGTACACTGGTAAAGATTCCTTGGGAGATGATTCAACATTTTCATACACACTATCTACTATCATACCTTCATTATCATCTACTATACGAACATTTTCATAATCATCCACTTCTGAAGCACAGACAGTTTTATATTTGTCATCAGATTCTACTTCTCTTACACTTAATCCCTTTTTTGCTTTATCTTTGTTTTCACTTTCTGTTTCATAATCGACATTTTGGTACTCTGGTCCATATTCCACATTTTCATACTCGGCACCATACTGAACATTTTCATACACAGAATTATAATTATAGTTTTCATATTCAACATCCAAGCCTGAAACTTCTGACTCCCCTAACAAAGCTTCTCCACTTGACTGAGAAGTTTGAAAACTGGCTTGGGAAGACTGAACACTTGGGGTAGAGGACATTGGTGCAGGTTCATCATAAGGAGACTCTGCTGTCTTGAAAGAATGTCCCAAGATATTAGTGTCTACATTTTCATACATTGGACCTTCTTCAGTAGGGTCATCACTACTGCTCAAATCTATTGACAAGGGGCTTGACTGTCGAGGCTCCTCAATAGCAGGTGGATATGGAACTGGTTGTCCCATACTTACTAAGTCCTGAACAAACTGGGACTCACTAGGAGTGGAAGGTTCAGTTGTGTCACTTAAGGGGTGATACTGAATTTCCAAGAATGTGGAGTCACCCTGGGGAGTCTCTGGAGAAGTGAGTGCAGACCCTAGGGTCAACAGCTCTGCTGTTGGTAAGCCAAGCAATGAATTTGGCCGAGCTTTGGGAAGTTCTTGTTGTGGTGTGAAGTCTTCTTGCACTGGTGTTACAGGAGTGACAGGTGTAATGGGAGTTACAGGAGTAACTGGAGTAATGGGGATAATGTGTTGTGACTCAGATTTTTCAGCAACAATGGCAACTGAAGGTGCAACTGGAGTCACTACTGTAGATGATGGCGCAATGCTACTAACACTATCTGAGAACACTTCTCTTCCATTTCCTCCTACACCCACTCCACTGCTGCTGCTTCCCAATGTGAAACTCTCATTATCTGATACAGTAGCTTCAGCAAGAGAGGTGCTGCTTACTTCTGATGCACTAACTGAAGGAGATGTTCTCAAGTGTGTTATTTTATCTAATAGTTCTGGATCTATGAGGGCACTGACCATACTAATTCTTGATGGAGTATCATCACACTCTTGACTTTCTGCCTCCACATGTATTTCTGCAGTTATTGTTTCTCTACTTCTTTCACACTCGGGTAATAATCTAGCTCCTCTTATGAAACTAGAGGTTTCTGGTTTTAAGACGTGGCCATCTTTTCTATCTGTTTCTACTGTACGGACATGCTTAAATTTTGGAGAACTGCACGGGGAAGATGGCCTTGGGGAAGTCTCAGTACGACGACGAGAAGTTTCTGGGCTGAGAGCATGGACAATCTTATCCTTGAGAGTTGCTGAAGCCCTTTTTAAGCTATTGTTTCGCGAGTCCTCACTAGAATCACTTACACCTGGGTCATTTCTTCGTTGACTGGGTGGGGAAGTAAACCTGTGTTTAAATTTTTCCTTCAGACTCTTTTTCTCTGGCCTGGGACTTAAATTCTCTTTACTTCTACCAGTCTCTGAACACATACTCAAATTTTCCATATCCAATGTAGAACTGGACATATTGTCTGGATCCTCAACTGAAGTTGATTTTAGAGTGTCCACCTCAAAGCCTTTCAAGTCTTTCTCACTGGTACTAAAGTTCAAATCAAGCTCACTAATATCCAGAAACATTCTTGAATTATCTGGTGAGAAATCTATATCACTCTCGCCTTCCTCTTTGACTGGCACTTGGGAAGGTAAGTTATTTGACCGACTTTCAAGATTGTTAAAGTAAGAATCATGCGAAACTGATCGGTTGTGTGTGCGAGGAGAAGGGATGGGACTGGACATGGAGCTGCTTCTGCTTTCACGATCATCCTGTGGAGACCTCTCATATTTCTCCCAAATTAACATCTCCCGCTTCTCTGGCGAGTCTAGTGCCTGTGTAATATAAATATAAATAACAATATGAAACAAAGAAACCCTGAAAGATAAAATAAAACATTTATTCACTCAAACAACTAAAATATAGTAGAATGCATAATTTTAAGCCCTGCACCCAAGCCATGAAGTCCAACTTTTGTTGTGTGTCAGTACATGAGTAAATGTTAATATATATATATATATATATATATATATATATACACACACACTGTACAGTGATTGGTAATGCACTGTTTTATTTATAGGTTTTTAGTTCTTTACAATGGTTTACCATTAGTACAGTATTTATATATTCAAATCTGAATATACGTAGTAACATATTTTCTGACGCCATGAGCGATAAAAGCAGAATTATTAATATTAGCAGCTAAGAATTATGAGATGAATTTAATTTTTTTTTTTTTACTTAAGAGGAAATAGTGGTAAGTTTTAGTACAGTGAACCCTCGCTTTACGCGGTTTCACTTTACGCGTTTCTACATTTACACGGTACCCTGCCAGAACCGGAATTCCCACTTTAAGGTGCATCTACTCATATAAGCGGGTGAAGTATAATTTTTTTATTTAGCTCATAAAATTCATACAAATTATCCGGCCAGAATATAATTTACATTGCTGGAATTCTTACAATTTGATGATCATTTTGAATATAAGCATCATAGATTTTGCATTAGACATACAAATTTTAGATCTAATGCAAGTATTTTGTTTACTCAGAGCAAATATGTTATCTTTTGTGCAAAATATATGAAGTGTATATTCAAAATATTCCTGGTCTTGCAAGGAATCCAGCAATGTCAATTATATTATCCTAACTTTAGTCTGAGGTATTATTTATTACTAAAAATGTAAATATACTGTTATAACCCAATCATTTCTCTGGTAGGGAGGGAAGGTGAGGGGTGAGGGAGCAGGTGGGAAGAGGGGAGGTGGGGTATTTTGATTGACAGATAGTATTTCGGTAAGTATATTTTGTTTATTTATTGAAGATAGTTTTAGGGCCAGAATATAATTTACATTGCTGGAATTCTTACAATTTGATGATCATTTTGAATATAAACATCATAGATTTTGCATTAGACATACAAATTTTGATTTTAAGTATTTTGTTTACTAAATATGTTATCTTTTGTGCAAAATATATGACATTTATATTCAAAATATTCCTGGTCTTACAAGGAATCCAGCAATGTCAATTATATTATCCTAACTTTAGTTCGAGGTATTATTTATTACTACAGATTGTACCTCTCTAGTCCGGCATTCTGTGGTCCGGAAACTCCCGTGGTCCGGAACGATTTTAGTTTGTCCAATAGGTAGATAGGCACTTTTTTTTTTTTTTTTTTACTTATCTGAATTATTATTATTATTGCAGGAGTATTAAATTTTTGCCCCTCAGGCCCAATGTGGGTCAGTGACCTATGCCCGGGTGGGCTAATCCCGTAAAAAAAAAACAAAGCCGCGGGAAATTAAGGTTTGTTTACATCCGGCAGTTCGGCTGCTCTCTCTCTCTCTCTCTGCTTGTCTATACAGAGTACAACATTTAACCCTTCAATATATATGAGCAGTAAATAAGTGTTGCTTTCATATTCTTATGTAGAGTAATGACGATATATTTTCACATGTGCGCACTTACATACGAGCAGTCTCACTTTTTTTTTTACCATTAATGGTTAGCTACTTATATTGTTCCATTTATTAACATTAAATAACATTACAGGTACTTCAAGCAACCATATTCATTTTTTTACATTAATTTTACTGCAGCTAAACTCAGGGTCTTATTTTCTTCAGTTTTATATGTAGAACCAATCAGTCACTGGTTTCGTAAGCTTTAACATAAACAATGCCGGCAGCCGTCTCGTCTCGTCTCTTCTAATATTCCACGTATTATGAATAAATTGTATTGTTAATTTTGCACACACGTACATTAATTCAATTAAAACAAATTCAGAAACATTAATTAAAATATATATGAACAGTAAATAAGTGTTGGTTTCATATTCTTATGTAAAGTAATGATGATATGTTTTCACATGTGCGCATGCGCACTTACATATGCGATCTCTCTTTTTTCTTTACCATTATCGTTACTCGTAGCTACTTCTGTTGTTCCATTTATTAACATTAAATAACATTACTTAAAACAACCATATTAATTTTACTACAGCTACAACCAAGGTCTTATTTTCTTCAGTTTTATATGTAGAACCAGTCAGTCACTGGTTTTGTAATCAACGAATACAATGCTGTGTCATTTCCTCGTGTGTTTTAATATTCTACGTATTATTAATGAATTGTATTGCTCATTTTGCACACAAACATTAATTCAATAAAAAAGACATTCAGTAATAAACAATAATGAATCTTTTGTACATAAGAGAAATGACGCTGTTTACACGATTATGCACGTCGTCTGCACGTTGGCGGGCCGTTCAAACCCGTCGAAATTCAAGTTTCCGCCGTCAAAATTTTTATTTATTTATTTTTTGTGTGTTCCAATAAAATACGTTAAGAATTAAAAACTCGCGAAATTTGAGAAGCTACTATACGACATTTAACCCTTCAATATGTCTTCAAAGAGACCATGATGCAGAGAAAGTGGTGCTAGTGCTTCCAGGCATAAGCACAAGTCACTATCTATCCAGGAAAAGGGTGAATTTCCATGGTCCGGCAATTTCCATGGTCCGGCACCGGTCAGGTCCCGAGGTTGCCGGACTAGAGAGGTACAACCTGTATACCTTAAAATCTAGTGGTTTTCCCCCAAACGTTTCTCAGAGAGTGAAGAGCCAGGGGTGTGAGAAGAGGGGGAGGGAGTTGAGTCCATTATTTGAATGGACATTAACTAGGCAACTGTATTTCTCTATTTCTCTTAAGTATTAATTGTGTGCATGTACCATCATAAAATTAAGATGTCATTTTTACTAGAACATAGGTATTGTGTCAGAAAAAGTGGAGTTTGGGGGTCAGCCGGTCTCTATTTCATTTAATCCCATATGTTATGTTGTTCACTTTACGCGTTTCTCGCTTTACGCGGGCCTCCGTGGGTTCAATTGACCACGTAAAGTGAGGGTTCACTGTATTGTGAATTAAGTGGAAAGGACAATCACATGAGCAAAATTATGAAATGTGACTTGACAAAGGCAATCAGTGAGATGCATCGTACATCAAAGAATGCACTACAGTAACAAATTTTAATGATATCAGACAGTGTTGAAGCCTCAAGTCATTCTGCACCTGAAGTGTCATAAAATTTCCATAAATTCAAAATACACATTAATAAACATCATGAACTCACCAACCAAGAGCACAACAGGAAGATCTGCTGCACATGAACACCATAACACTTTTAATAATTCATAAAGCATAGAAAATACCAACCTGTGAATTTCTGTTTGAGTGCAAGGAGGCTGAGGCCGAGATGAGGGACTCAACTGACTTGACAGGTCGGAGGCGCTTGGAGGAGGAAGGGGCAATATCTGCCTCAGTCACCAATGAGTCCTGTAGTGGCAACACAGGTGAAGGTTAATGAGACTTAGGGTGTTCAAGACATAACCAGTACCAGGAGGTGGTCAACCATTAGGAGAACTAAAGGGAAAGAGATAAAATTCTACAGACTAAAATATTACTATAAGACTACATTTAATTGTCCAGTTCAAGGTAACAGGAAAAGGAAAATCTTGAAAATTATGAGAATCTGTACCACTGAAAAATAAAAATTAATAAAAATGTGCTGCATTACTTTTGTTCTTTACAAGGGCTGCCTGATTACAAGATACTTAGTGCAGTACTTTTCTGAGTAATATAAATAACAAATAAAAAGTGCAGGGAGAGATCAGACAAGTATACTGTATTGTTATCAAACCTGTTCACAGCATGTTTATGCAAGACAGGAAACAAATTTGTGACATGCATGCACAGGGAAAGAGAGTATTCCACAGGCTGTAGTTATGGTATTTTTTTTGTAGAAAATTATACAGATGGGAAAAAAATTTCTTAAAACGGCTTTTCCATTGAATAGAAAACAATCTGGTTGCTTTAAAGGGCATAACAATAACAAATGCCACCTTTTAAAATCACATCTGTTTTGTATAATATGTACTCGTATACATGGACTCAAGAGTGTGATTCATTACTGTCTATGATACCTGAATATCAGTAAATTACCTTAGAGCAACAGAATGCGTACTACCCCTGGTTTGTTGCCACACACACACTTTCAAGATTTTTTATTTTTTCATACAGGTATATCTGAATTTGAAAAGCTTTCAAAGTGGCTTAACAACATATTATTAAATTTTTGTGGAAAGTCAACAACCTTTTCAAATACCTACCATGTTCCAATTACAAAAAATTAGAATAATAGAATGATACTAACTGCCTTATTGCTTCCTAGACCTCGATAATGGAAATGTAAATTCACATTTACCCTCTTAAATCTACCATACAAATAATAATCTCTTTTTATTATGAAAAATAATAAACAATTGTGGTCAAGTTATTATCAGTACAGTATATGAACTTTCATTAACAAACTCAATGGTGGGCGACATGCAGTGATGATAGTAATGTTGGTACTGATGGTAATTTTGACTTAGGGTGTGGTAGTAGGTGGTGAGGCTGGTTGGAGGTGGTACTAAAAGCCTAAAACGCACAGGGATTTACGGTAATACTTATGGGTATTTTTGCGGTTTTACTAAAATTTAGTTTTTTCAGGAATGCAACCCCATCGTTAAACAAGGTATAGCTGTATACTGTATGTGGATGGAGCAGTAAAAGATGTGAAGGGAAATGTAACTGGATCAGGAGCCACTACAGGTACTGGATAGTTAGATAAGGCCAGAGGAACTGTAACATGTCTCAATGCAGAGGAGAGTATTTTGTGGAGTTAACCAACAAGTTAGACAGTGTGTGTGTGTGTGTGTGTGTGTGTGTGTAACTTCCTTAATTAAGTGAGAGTATTCAGAAGAAGTTACAGGGAAGTTACAGAAAAATAAAGGAGTTAAGTGTTAGGAAGAAAGGTATGGTACAGTATTTGAGACAATTCTGGTAAACCATTCAGAATAGAAAACCAAACAAACTGAAAACATATCTGTGTTGAAACATAATATACTGGAAGATAATAAGAGAAATACTGTATGTAAAAATATCATTGACCAAATATTACAGGAAGCTATTAATTAGTGTTGCAAAATAGATTAAATTATTCCAAGTCATTACAAAAAGTAATTATCAAATTTACAACTTTCTTAGTGTACAGTATATAAAATCAATGTACTTTATTCCTCAGTAACTACAAAAGATACATTCTTAAAAAGTATTAAGCTATGCAAAAGTGTGTGAAGTGAAATTAACAATTTCATTGGAAAACATGTAAATGGTGATGGTTGCATGTTTGAGGTAGGCTATGTGTATAAAAAATCAAACAGCCAAAGGTCAAAAATAAAAAATTCACAACTCTGTAGTGCTCAATATCCACTTGGTTTCAGATTTAAAGTGCAGGTGTGGTTTGTGGATTTAACCGCTTCATGTTCTAGTGTCACTCACATCCATGGTTGGTGTCTATTTTCAAACAAACTAAATTTATTTTTATAAATTTTTTTTTAGTTGTATGTGTGTAAGAGACTGGCTGCATGCATGGTTGGTGTGGAGAATGGCTTTGTGTTTTTAAATCTTTTAGTAGTCAGCATGCATTCAGGTGCCCCCCCTCATACTACTCTCAGTTCACTGAGCTCAATTACCAGTACTGTACTGTATTTGCATTTTCACTTCTAACGAAATATATATCCTTTCCTTTTGGTCATAGAGGCACTTGTAACCAATGGATGCCACTGGTAAATCATGAAAGGAGAGGAAAGTTTATGGTTTATGAGATGTGTAAGTGATGAAACTTGGTCCAGAACACATTCAGAACATGTTCATTTATTGATTGTGTAATACTGGAGGACGTGTGTTTTGTTAGAAGTCTTTAACTGGTGAATAGAGTAAAAACAAAATTGTGTTGTGCTAACAGTGAGGAATACTGTACTTGTACAAGAAAAATAAAAACTTTCAGAACAAGGTAACTAAGGAGGATGTTTTGCCATTATAATGTATGTGGTAAACTGAGTAGAAAACCATAGCCGATGTTGAAAGCAAGCCTCAACTGCTTCCATGTGTTGAGTTTGGAACAAGGCACAAAAACAGTACATTTGGGGGGTCACCTTTGGAACACATCATGCCTACATCACATGTTACAGCTGCTGATGAAGGTTGGATCACAGAACTGGTCTGAGTAATAAATAAGGTTTTAATCCAAATCTGTGACTCAGGCATAGAATGATGTACCTACTGTTAGCTGCCGAGACCAGGCCAGTCAAGTCACCCTACATCAAAGAAAATACATGTATCCTCTACATTCAGGAATGAAAAACAATGCCTTTCTGTTATGATTATAGATATAAGCATTACTAGGTGTGTAAACTTATGCAAAATATTACCGTAATCACACAAGAAGTTTATGAGATGAAAACAACCAATAATACTGCTTGCACAATTTCCTTTTGAGAAAAAAGTAAGAGAAAGAAAGCCTAATATTTCAAATTAAAAACAAACATAATTCTAAAAGACAAACACCATTAAACATTTCAATATAAAAATTAGTAATCATGGGCAGGGATTAATGCTAACTTAAATATACTGTATAATCTAAATAGATAGGAAAGGAATAGCTGTCCACAAAGAATACTATGTTGGAGAACTATCTAAAATTTGCCATGAAAAAAATTAACCCAATTTCTAAACAAAAAATCATCTACAAAAGATGTGAAAGAAACTTGAAAAGTCTAAATAAACATAAGGTAAATTAACAAAATATGATGACTTAAAAGCATGAAATCTCTTTCAATGACTGTGGGGAATACTGTATATGAAAGACTTGTGATGTAAATACAATTCTGTATCAGGATCACATCCCTTACAAAAAAATGGCCAATGTCCAAGAACTTTTACATGTTTAATGGTAGCTTACATCATCAACATTGTTTTATGGCCAATTTCCAAGGTTGTGTGGGTTACCTCCAGTTAATGGATGCCAGCCCTCCATGCTGCAAGGTCTCTTGAAGTCTCTCGTCAGGTTCCTCCCCTCCCCACATAGCCACATGCACCTCTTGACCCAATTGGTCTTGCCCATTCACTCCAGATGCCCAAACCATCTCAGCCTGCCTCTACATAGGACTTCACCAATACTTTCAATATCCAGCTACCCTATTAGCTCCTGTATTTCAGTGTCACATCACACATCCATCTCAACATTCTCATTTCAGCCCACTTTAGATTACTTATGTCATCATCTTTAACTACCCATGCTTCACTGCCATACAACATCACACTTCTCACACCAGCTGCATAAATTTTTTCTTTTTACTCAAAGGGAATGTGTTCTTGCTGTCAATAATGGTAGCATATCCCTAAACTTCCTCCAGCAACTTCTGACTCATGCAACTACCTGTACAGGCTTCAGCATTCCCACCAGCATTGATCATGTCATCCAAGTAACAGAACTAACTGAAAGTCCAAGGACATATCCCCAATGGTGAGTTTCTCCAGCCTTGCTGTGGGCACATGGTTACCTGCACATACATAACACTTAAAGTCAGCAACATCCCACAGTCAGCCATCTATTCCACTGCACCTCTTGTGTACCCACCTTCCACATTCGTACATTATTGAATTGCTGCCAACACCTCTCTTCCAGACAGCACATGGCTATTTGCCACTTTCCACCACAGGTCCCTCACCCACGCTTCTAATCAACTTTTTTTTTTTTTTGCCATTCACTCTCAGGCCGTTTGCATCTATTCCTTCCTTCCATTTCTCCACTACCTCTTCAATATCATCTGTATAAAAAATTTTCTCCTGCAAGTAGCTCCTCACCCAAACAAATAAGAATTGAATCTGTGCTTTGCACCTCTGATCCAGTTATCATCTTGGGCCATCTCAAGCCATCAACTATAAAATGAATTTCATTATGCAACTTTTTCAGCTTCTGCTGATTTGTAACCTTATCCAGGGATGAGGTTACCCAAGTCACTTATTTCTTTACCTTTTACTCATAAAATGGAAATTCATATTTAAATCCTTTATTTATGATCTTCAGGTCATGAATGAGTAACCTGTGAGACACAACCAACTATAAAGGTTTAAGTATGAACTTCCTTTTATGTCTGAAGAAGGCCCAAAATGAACGAGCCTATCTGCGGTTTGAACTCGAGTACTGAAGCCTAGCTAATTCTGAGACAACCACTAGCTCAGAATTTCAATGCACCAACTTCTTTTGATGAACAACTTTAGAAAAACAAGACTGATCTTCCCCTACCGTCTGAAGTACTGAAGACCTAAAAGCGATAAATAATCGACACACTTCCTAAAGACTTCTGTACTTTGGTTTAGTTATCATTTCAGTAAAGCGGCAAATCAAGAAAGCTGGGAGACCTCACCATTTCACAAGCAACATGGTAACTCACGATGTCTGATGATTGTAGGCAAAAAGGAAACAGGAAAGAGGATAAAAAGTAACACAATTTGATAAGTTGAATTTACTTCAACTAATGTGTTTGAGATTAAACAACTTAGAACAAGAACAAATATATAATTAACCAATTTTTACAATTTTAGTAGAGTACAGTAGGCTCTCGCCAATAACGACTTCCACAATAACGTTTTCGACAATAACGGTAAGTTACAATAGATACCCATTTTCGATAATAACGTCTGGATTCTCTTGAATAACGGAAATTTCGCAGGAAGCGTCCGAGAGCATCAATGATAGCATTTGTTTGCCGCCATGTTGATGATGTAGTTGTCCACTCCGCCTCACTCTCACTGTCACACACGCTCAGTGGAATACAGCACTGCGCCCATGTGTGAGATTTTCGCCACTATAACCAGTGGTTGTTAGGGTCGGTGATCAATAATGGCTTCCGCATTTTTGCCTGTGGGGGCTAGGGGAGGTGGTGGAGGGAGTGATTTGCCACCTGAATGACTGGGAACTTTTAAAGTGAGGAAATTGAACTGTCCTGAGTCTACAGTGCAAAATATCAAGAGGAACTTAGAGGAGACCAAGAAGAGTATTGTGCTGGCTAAAAAATTTTCGGTAGTGATGGAAATGCGAGGCGAGCTATGAATGATAAAGGCGATAGAAACAGGTTGTTAGTGATAACAGAGCATTTTCTTGTGAAATGGTTAGCTTGTAGACTGAAAGACAGTGCAAGTGTTAGCGGCCCTCAGATATGGAACAATCATCACACCAAGCACCTCAAAAACTAAGTGTTATATTACTCAAACTCTTTATTTTGATGATTGAATAGCAATTCTTTTTATTTCAGCTAACAAAAAGTGTTAGGAGGGCTTCAAGGGGAAAAAATGGGTGAAATTCTTGTGGCGGCGGCACCAATAAACCCTTGTTACATCTATTTTAATGTCACACAATTAACGTTTTCGCTAATAACGGTGTTTTTCAGGCACCTATTAAACGTTATTGGTGAGAGCCTACTGTATATAGCTATAAAACACATGTCACACATCCAACCAAACCTATACTGTATTAAGGTTAATTTAAACCCATTTCTTGTTTCTCATCATTTTTCTTCACAAAAACTATATTTTTTCCATTTATTCTTTTTAAGATTACCGGGTCTGATCATGATGTACCCAGGATAGGAGGGAGGGGTACTGCTGCTGCAAATTCTTGTTGGTAGTTTCCTCCTATGCGCTCCAGGCATAAGTCACAAACTTAAAATGCCAAAAGTTGGAAATTGAGCATGTTTGAGTCAGCACTGTGAACAACTAGGAACTTTCATCACATACATACAAATTCAATAACCAGTAGTTAATAAACAATCATAATTTGTGCTAGTGAGCATCCCCGTACTTTATATATTTCCTATATTAATTTTTTTCATGACGGTATTTCCTTTTGTAATTACGGTAAGTGCTTTGGACATTAAAGAATAAAATTTAAGGGTACAATATGATTTTTTCTACAGACAGGATATTGTAAACAGAAACTTAAGTAAATACAGAAAGACAAGAATATGATACGTGTAAGGTCTTGTTGGGCACCACACTTATAATGGCTAGGCTGATAGTAAATTCATGCTCGACTTACCAACTTACTCTCAGTTGTTGGTAGTCCTACACGTACTTCCTCATCAACACTACAGTGCTTAATTTCACAAACTCACATATTAAATTGTTTGAAATCATATCAATAATAGAAATAAAACACTTACCGAAATATTTAGGTGTATATCGCTCGGTGTAGATGCTTTTCTTGGATGCTTGTGCACGCTACGACCCTTACTAAATATGCTCTTCCATCCTGAAGGAGATTTCTTCTGCTTCAGGCTGCCACCTTTTCGACTTGGTAGTTCAATTACAGTATGGTATTTTGGGGGTAAATTCTGGGGACCTCCACCTGGAGATGACAAGTCAGAGAATGAATACAAGACAAACATGTGATGAGGCAGATGATAACCTGTAACAAAAACAAGAGTGTACTGTACCTGATAAATACCACATTTTTGTGTTCAGTCAAAAGAAAATAATAATCCCTCTTTCACTAAGCATAAGCTCACAGTCATATCCCCTACACCAACAGCCAGCTGACGATCATGTGCCATTCACATGGTCACTACTAGTGATTAAATGCTCAAAATAATGGTAAAATATCTGCAATAAAAAAAATACCTGAATACAGTACCCTGTTTATAAAAAAAAAAATTGTTCCTAAAAGTCATTGAGAATAACGAATTTGCAAATACTGTACAGTACAGTACAGGTACATGTTTCGAGTCAATTTTTTCCATAAGAATTAATGTAAATGGAGGGAGGAGGATGTGTTCCCAACCGGCAACTTTCACCACAGATTTATAATACACTGTATACACTCCTCATTATCCGAGGCTATTAGGGACCATGGTCGTGTATATACTGTAGTACTGTACCAGTAAATGTGAAGAAGAAATTAACAATTATACTAATAAATAAAAGAAAAGAAAAATACCACATTTGCTGTTGGCAATAGTTTCACTACATGCAGGAGGCTGGAGCGGCGGAGATCTCCAACACTACTCCCTCCTCCCACAATCCATGGGCTAATTACCGTGCACGTAAGAAATGCTTATGACCTTTATGCTTTGACCTTATGATAACCATTTCTTTTCCTTTTTTACCTTTTTTGCACATTCTTTATGAACAATTGTGTGGGCATGTAATAGAGAAAAATAAAATCATATATCTACCCAAAGAATACGAGTTGAAAAATAAAAATAACTTAGCTCACACCTTGGCCAGATGGTAGGGAGAGGCTGAGATCCCCGTCGCCGCACCCCCCTCCTTCTCCCCCATTCCCCTCCCACGATCGCACACTAACTACTGCGGACATAAGAAATCTTTATTCTCTTTATGTTTTTGAGCCTACGATATTTTTTTTCTTGCACATTCCGTATGAACGATTGTATGTGCATGTCAAAAAAAAGAAAGGAATACCTACCCAAAACTGTGTTGAAAAATAACAATAACACAGCTTGGCCTGGTAGGGGGAGAGCAAGAGGGATGTGAACGGTTCCATTGAACTTCAATTTCTAAACTGTGTGGGTCCTCATGCGTGGAAAAACACGCTCGTGTGAAGTGGGTCTTATGGTGGAATATGAGAGCTGCAGCTAGCTCGCGTGGTTTGAAATATTACTGGAGGATACTATAATTTTTCTTTGCGAATAAGCAGGTTATGCTGAAGAGAATATTGAATAGAGTGTTAAGATGTCAATTACAGATAAAGGGGGTTGTGAGTAGTGAGGTATTCCTATACTAGTGAACTACAGGTAGCACAATAAACCCATGATATATGTAATGGTATTCAACTCTGATGCCAAAATATAGATCATGCAGTTCAAAACTTTACAACCATTACAATACAGTATTATAAAAATCATTACACTAATGTATATCACTATTTATGGCACTAGAAATTTCTACAGTACAAAATTAAATGTAAGTATTGAAAAATTACTTATGAATGAAGCTAAATACTGCTTAATAAAGATATACATGCACAAAAAAAATAATAATAATCCATCAATTCACTACGACAGTCAATCTGTATATTAAATGTACAGTATATACTCACCCACTTCTATGTACTTCTGGTCTGGCTTTATGGCTGTGGTGAGAGCCCTAGACCTTGCCTCTTCAATTGATATTAGCTTGGTGGGAGTAGATATGGCAAGAGATTTTGGACGTGATTTCTTTGGTGTTCCGTCCATCCCATTGGTGGAATGTGAGAAGGTTGGTATTTTGTCATTGAAAATAAGGTCCACATATCGCACGAGATACTCCGTCACTACTGCTTGTGTCCCAACATCCTACAGAGGCATAAAAACACGCCTTAAGTATTTCCATGCATCAACAGTAAGTATCAAGAGGAAAAAAAAAGTTAACACCACAAGACAACATTCAATATTACACACAACGATAAAAGTGGAAATATAGTCAAGAAACACATGCCTTATGGTAAAAAGCTTTATATAGGAATAACACTATATCAACATGCAAAACAAATAACTATGAAAACACGTTCAGGTTGCCCAATACAAAAATTTCATTCAATTTCTAATGTTTAAATCTCCAAGTGCTTCAATTAAAAAAGGCATGTGCATCACCACTGAAAAGTAGCCTTGGAATTACAGGGGCTATGAAACCAATAAAAACACAAGCTATCTTCCACCAAAGAAATACCAAATACCCAACTGACCTTTTTGGCTGCCTGTAAAATGATTTGCATGTCAATTTAATCAAAGATTCATGTCAGTAACACACAACTATATGACCAAAGAACATATACTAAAGAAATTTTCCACTATATAGTGTAGATATATACTGTATGAACTATAACTATAAAATTTAATCTTTTTCTTTTCCTCATTAAAGAAGGGTACTGTACTTCACTTTATCATAGCATTACCATTTTCCTTTTCATCCAGCCTATAAAAGAACTCTCTCAAATTGCACACATATTAACCTTTTCTATTTACAAGAGTAATATGGTATAAATTTTCTCCCAAGAGTCAGTGTGCCAATCCATTCAAATCTTCCTCCATACACCAAGACTCTGGCATATCTCCACAGTAGCCTTCTCCAATGATACTCTTCCCTTCAATCTGTCCTTTCATACTTCTTTAGTCTTTTTCTAGATCTAGCCTCAGCCATTCCACCCATGTCCTCTCAGTACAAATCTAACCAGACTACAGTAATGGTATAATGTAAATTTTCAGTATAATTTTTAATGCTTGCATGTACATACAGTATGTATGTACAGTACAGTCGACCCTCGTTAATTCGGACTAATAGGTGGGAAGGGCGTCCGTTTTAGCCGATTGTCCGAATTAACCGATTTAGGGGTTAATATTGCATTATATTTCAAAGTCATTGTTTTCGTCACGATTTTATCCCACTTTCCACTGTAATACGTACGTAATTTCAGCAAAAATATTACATTTCCGTGAATATATTATATCAAGCACAGCATGAATAGAATATCATTGTAATATAACAGTATTTTAACCGAAAACTATTAAAAAAACGAATAACACCTCAAGAACATCCGAAGCTTAGGTAAAGTCTTTTGTTTTCGTCATGTATTTTATCCTATTTTACATTGAAATACATCACGTTTCAGCAAAACTACTATTTATTTCCAAGAATATATTCATTCAGGCGCAGTTTAGGTAAAATATACATGTGATGTAACAGTATTTTAACTGAATACGATTAAAAAAACACGTACCCTCTACCCCTGTTCAAGGAGAGGACTGGGAGAAGCTGTTTGGTGCTGCAGACGATGACAAGGAAAATGATTTGGATGGATTTTAATGAAAATATTCAGAAATATGGGATTGTAGTATTTATTCAAGTCAATTAGGATAGAATATTATTGTAATACAACAGTTTTTTAACTGAAAACCAAGCGAAAAGCGATTACGGTAACATCTTTTGAACGAAAAAGCGAAAGTCATTGTTTTCGTCACAATTTTATCCCACTTTCCACTGTAATAAGTACGTCATTTCAGCAAAAATATTACATTTCCGTGAATGCATTACAGTGGGGTATGCTATAACGAATCTAATTGGTTCTAGAACCTTGTTCGTTATAGCATTCGTTTGTTATAGGATTAATCCGTTCCAGGCCCCCAAATACAACCACTTAACACTGAAAAATATAATATAAAATTGTAAAAATTTTAAAAAAGTGCATAAATATGCATCTAAACCCCTGAAATAAAGAATATCATTAATATTTGTAATAATAAAACAATAAATTAGAAAAAAAAAAAATTAAATTATGTTCGTTGTAGGAGTTTCGTTCGTTATAGCATTCTCAATTTTATAGGTAAAACCGTTTGTTATAGGAATATTCGTAGTAGGATCCGTTCGTTATAGCATACCCCACTGTATATATATATATATATATATATATATATATATATATATATATATATATATATATATATATATATATATATCGGAAGCTTAGGTAAAGTCTTTTGTTTTCGTCATGTATTTTATCCTATTTTACATTGAAATACATCATGTTTCAGCAAAACTACTATTTATTTCCGAGAATATATTCATTCAGGCGCAGTTTAGGTAAAATATACATGTGCTGTAACAGTTTTTTAACTGATAACGATTCGAAAAACACGTACCCTCTAGCCCTGTTCAAGGAGAGGACTGGGAGAAGCTGTTGAAGTAGATTACCGGGTATTATATTAAGTGTGAAATATCAAAAAGGTTTTTATTACCGGTATTTTTTGTAGATCAATGAGAACTGTGATACCGTATATGATATGATAAGTTAGTCTGTGCTAAGAACTTCCACATAGACTACTGAAAGCAAGTTGTAAGGTAATTTATCTTCTTGTAAGTTGGTGAGCTTCATTTGCTGAAGGAACTGCACAATTTTTCATTACTAATTGGTACATATTTTGCGTTTCCATTGTTTACTGGCTGTAGATGGTAAATATTTTTCATGTCTGAAGCTAAAAGTTGCATCCCCCCCTCCCCCCCCACACTAGTGGTGATGTTACATTTAACCAGAAAGACACTGGTGTTTTATCCCAACAGTGGGTGGACCAGCATTTTAGCTTAAGGTCCGCGTAGGTAATATTCCTAAAAAAAAAAAAAAAAATTCAGATTTTTTCCGAAGTATCCGAAATCCGGATTAAAGGGGTCCGAATTAACGAGGGTCGACTGTACACACACATCGCTGTATTTCAAACTGATTCCTTACTTTCCCTCTTTCTCAGTATAGTACTACAGTCCTGTACTGTAATCGAAAGATCATTTCTTTTACACTTCAACCTAAAAAGATCCCTAAACCATGTTTACTTATACAGTACAATACAGTACATCAAGTATGTTTAAAACAAGGCACAGTATTAAAGTTTAAAGAAATAAAATTAAAATTAAATTTATTTTGGTATAAAAAAGTCTTTTTTTTTAAACTGTTAACAGTATTATCAAACAAAATTTAGGCATGATCCATTCAAGCCAAAAAACTGCACAGTATGGTAGTAGGTGAATTAACTGTATTTAAATACATTAGTATTACAGTATTCAGTACAGGTATAGGTATCCCTCCTATTTATGATGGGGTTAGGTTCCTGAAAACCCATCACAGGTCGAAATATCGTAGATCGGGATCCTTATAACTTGGGGTTCGATGGGATACGTTCCCAGACAGTTAGACATCTACATGTATCACCGAAAAAAACTTCTTACACCATTAATATATCTACAACACTCATTAAGAACAAACTTGGTCGTCATTACATGTTCCCTTCAAGGTCAAGGAGACTCTTGGAGGGGATGCATCTGGCTTGTATGATTCCAGTTTTTGCTGGGACCATCATTCATTTAAGCGAGAAAAGCTTTCGTGTTGTAAGAAAGAGGTGTAAGAACAGAAAATTTGTAACGGCGATTTTTCGTATACCTGAAATACGACTGTGGTCAAATAACAGTCTCTTTATACATCTATTTATCATTACCTACATAATATCACATCCAATACACCCATTACATATGCAATAACTGTAGCCATTCTTAACTACACAAACTGGAAAACCTAAGTTAAGTATTCTATGACAAACTGAAAAGCACAGTAATTTTTTTTTAAGAATTCTTGTACTACCTCTATAATGATATATGGAAGAGTTTATTACATATGCAGAAGTTGGCATCATAATAATACTGTATACCTTCAAGAAAACAGATGCATGAACAGACCACTACATAAATTTAATTCCAAATGATAACATAGAATCAATAACTTCATATAATTTCATATGGTTCCTCTAAAAAAAAATTTACAAGCAAGTTTAAACCTTCCTTGACTTAAAAATCTTATCCTGTCTTACATTTCTGAGAATAATATCCAACCATCATTTGTCTTCTGATTTTCATATTTCTAATTCATTCACGTACAATCAAAAGCTCTTTTATATAGTACAGTCAACCCTAACTTTACGCGGTCCCACTTTACGCGTTTCCACGTTTACGCGGTACCCTGCCGAAACCGGAATGCTCAATTTCCGCGGTGTGTGTACCCTTTTACGCGGAGAGCAGCGCGAGCAGGGTGCGCACAAGGTCGCCCAGTCATCAAAACATTACCGAGTTCTTCACCCACCACCCACCACAGCCGGCCCAAGTCAGTGATAGTGATAATGATAGTGAGGATGTGGACTTATATGGACTTTGAGGGGTTTGACAAAGAGGCCCTGCAAGCCTCTGTGGTGGATAGTGATACAATTGATACAAGTGATACAGGTGAGGGCCAATAATCTGCCCTCTGCCTCGGAACCAACCGCCCATCCCAGTGTGCCCAGCCATCTTTTCTACTAATGTAAGTGTTAAAAAACCTAATATTATTGATATTTCTCTTAATTATTAATTGTGTGTGCATACCATCATAAAATTAAGAAGTTATTTTTACTACAACGTAGGTATTGTGTCTGAAAAAGTTGAGTTTGGGGGTCGGCCCGGTCTCTATTTCAATTACAGGTTGACAATCCCTTATCCGAAATCCTTGGGACCAGATGCATTTCGGTTTTTGGAATTTTTCGGTTTTCAGAATGGTTAGGTTTTTTTTTTTTTGTGTGTGTATTAGCCCACCCGGGCATAGATCACTGACCCACATTGGGGCCTGGGGGCTATTATAATAATAATAATAATAATAATAATAATAATAATAATAATAATACATAGGTCTAGGTCGTGTTTCTCACTTTTGATCTTTTTGTCATTCTTGTATTTCTTAATTATTATTATTATTATTATTTTATTATTACAGTATTACAGTATTGTTATTATTATCATTGTTATCATTCTTATTTTATTTTTGTGTATTTTTTATTAAAATTTTTATTTACTATGAATAGTTATTATTATTACTGTATTATCATTATTATTACTATTACATTTTCACCCCACAAAAAAACTTTCGGTTTTCAGAGCTTTTCGGTTTTTGGAATTTCGGATAAAGGGTTGTCAACCTGTATATGTTATGTTGTTCACTTTTCGCGTTTCTCACTTTACGCGGGCCGCCGTGGGTTCAATTGACCGAGCGTAAAGTGAGGGTTCACTGTATGTTAAAATGATCTCCGTCCTTTTTTTAAGATCATTTGAAACTAACACATTATCACAATATAAGAATAAAGGATCATTTTCAAAACAAACCTTTTTTTTTTACCATACTGTAACAGTATATAATCGTATTTGCTACTTAACCCTCTGGACCCACCTTAACCCAAAGACAAAGATTGCAAGATTCCATTATTAAAACTTTACCACCATTTCCACAATACACATTACCATCATCACTATCCACACAACTCTTGCCATCATCATCCACAATACTCTCACCATCACCATTCACATAACTCTCACCATCACCATCCACATAACACTCACCATCACTGTCCACAGAACAATTATTACCAGCACCTTCCATAAAACAACTACTGCCACCATCAATATCTAAATAATAATAATAATTTTTGTTGTCTCAAAAATACTGAGAAAAAAAAAATCATACAGTCCGTTACTTTTCATGTACTGTATATATATTTATGTCAAAATTTCTCCACATGCTTCAGCTGTAGTATCCATCAACTTGAAAAAAATTACTGAAATGCCAACAAGTAACCGATAAATATTTAATGGAATATTCTTGAATCAAATTAATTTTTAAAATGACACACTAAGTACCTACTGGTTAACTCAGTACAGGTATATTTAATTTTCCAAATTCATTCAAGGCAAATAACAAATTGGATTATAGACTGAATTTAGTGTAGGCAATGCAAAACATTCTGTGCTGACAAAACTTCAGTAAATCAACATCCAACTGGCCTCAAAGTGATTACTGTATATAAGGTATCACATCTGATGTCTTTTACACTAGTATCTAACCCACATGAATTATGAATTACACATCTAATAGTAAGACAAATTTTCACATGTTCCCAGTAAGAATCATCTTGCTCAAAAGAACCTATAAAGTCTAGAGCATTGTGTGTATGGTAAGTACAGCACTGAAGCAAGCATTACAAGTGGCATCCACATCTACCATTCAACATGAAGAGTAAATACACTGTTTGCTAAAAGAGCTTGGAAAGGTTCTATCATAAGGCTATAAGGCATAAAATTTGTGTAGAACAGTATGGTACTAAAAGTTGTACTTTACTTGGATTACAACAGTTTGTAATAATAATAATAAAAAAAATATATCAATATCTGACCTGAGTCACATAAGGAGGAGAGGGAGGACACTAATGCCCCTATGAACTAAATGATACTTTCCCTCAGAATGAACAAGATACTAACTCAACCCACGGGACATCTCTTAACACTGACAAAATGTGAGCCAATATTGAGGAGCATCTTTATGATCCTCCAAATAAAGGAAGAAAAAATGTCATAACATGAAATTTCATCGCCCATTCTGGTTTTGGTTCAGGACTCTATATTCTATCTCATTAAGAGGCATAAACATGCAAAAAATATCACCAACATCAGTTAAGTTGTCTGATATACTGTAGCCAATGCTTGTTGAGAATAACATTAAAATAACTACATTAATAACAAGGATAGTAATTCTAATAGGAGGGAGGGAGAGAGGGAGGGAGACTATCAGCACTGAGGAAGAAAATGGGAAATATGATTAATTAAAAAGCAGGTATAATGTATTTTTTCCCAGACAGTGATTCACTTGGTCTCATGTTGCTAGGTGGTAGCAGAAGGTGGTGCAGAGGAAGGTTCAACTGTGTCAAAATACACAGACTATGAACTAAAAAAAATTTATGTAATCTAAACTAGCATGAAAATGATAAATGCATAATTCTAAAGCAGTGGAGAAGAGGAATTTCTATTAGATCCTACAAGACCTTACTCTGGAGACATAACAAAACACAGGCCTGGAGACTAGACGAAGTAGCTGTATATATGGAAAAATAATCTTCATACAAAAACCAAATTAAAAAATATATATGGTATGGGTACAAGGATCTATAAGTCAAAATGCAAATGCAATGGAAGGTAAAGGTCAATTCCATGCTAAAAATAATCAATGGAGCAATTGGTTATGTTACTCCTACAGTACAGTACGGTACTTTGTAATGCTATATAGAATAAGGATAAATGCCCCTGCCAGCTCAAAGAAAAAGGATGCATATAACAATAATCAATGCTCCTCAGTAATACCCACATCTTACATAGAATACTGAGCTAGATATTTTAATGATCCAGAGGTGAAATAGGGTCCCATTTTCACTTCAGTACATTTAACTGTTTAATTTATACATATACAGTATATAGTGTTAATATTATCAATATAAATATTAGAGTAATAACAAAGAAAATAAGAATTAATGGAAATTTGGGGGAACCAAAAATTCTTAACAATATTTCCTTACTTGATGCTATGAGAGATAAATGTTATAGGAATGTTTGGACCTCAAAATGTAAACTACGTTATGAAGTGAATTATTTGAAGTTTGTCTGGTTTGGATTATTCTGTACCTCCTTTAACAGTTCGATAATACTATTCAGGCTGTTTTACATGTCAATAGTGAATCTGACACTAAGAAGTCAAAGTACCGTAATAGTAACACAGCTGATTCTGGGTCAAGAGGAGTGAAACTCTGGGTCACATGGTGGACGAGGTAATGCAAGGTCAACACAGTGTGGTGGGGGGCAAGTCAAAATCAGGTCAACTGAGGATACTAACTGGTTCATTATCTACACATAGATCAACACTCTGCAAGAAATCTAATTATGCACAGGAATAAAGTGAGGGAAGGTAGAGGTGGAACAGAGGTACCAATACACAATCTTTCATAAAAGGTTCCATTAATATCTTACGCAGTATCTTTATCATAACTGCCAATTACAATATTGTTTTGTGGGAACTACACAAGAGGAAAATAAGTTTTCATAGCATAATGCCATATGTCAGGTTAATAACGGTAGTCACAAGTGTAAATGTGATGGGATAAAACTTTAGTATTTAATCCTGTCTTCTACCATCCACCTCTGAAAAACACATTCTTTAATTTCCCATCCTCTCAATTCTACGATCCATTCTACCTTAAACTCTGTTCAGTTCTCAGTCACACCTTTCTTGCACTTCAATGCCTCCTCCTAATTTCTGAATTTCTTCTATGTATCCTATTCACAATACACATTTGTTCTCAATCATGTTATTTTTGTCACTTCTAATCACCAGTACAGTAATAATCATGAGAAAAGGGAGATAACAAAAATATAGAAATTTAACACTAAACAAAGAGAGAGGAGTACCATGTGCTGTTGTACTTTATACACCCATTACCAAATTTAGACTCTGAATGTGGAACTTTTACTTTGTCCAGTGATGACACACACTGCTGTATATAGTCAGGTAACATTTCATCACAATATCTGTACTGATGCAAGAGTTATGGTCCAGGGACAATTATGACACCCAGATGACAGACAAACAGATACACATACACCATAAAACAAATTTTTTATATATTTTTTTTAAGGGAAGAATAAAGAGGACAGTAGATCAGTATGAGCACCTACTGTGATGGTCCAATATATCTTATACAGTAACATCTTCTGTCTTATGGAAGGATAATACACAACAACTGACAAAAATCCACATTTAGAAAAAACCACTTATTACCTTCATGAAGTAATGCATAATTTACACCAATCACTACATAATATAGATACAGAAGATATGTACAGTACAGTATACAAAAAACACCATCCTCCCTTGTTAAAACCAATGTAAATGTAATCGTTAAAATTTTACAACTCAATTTAATCATTAGTAAATGGTATATGTGTCAGGAGTACCCACCTGAAGAGCTGCAACACCACCCATGTCTAAGTCCTTAGATCGCAAGAGGTTGGGTGCCCACACAATGGCTATATTTTTGGCTGTCATACCCGTTTCTGGACTATGTGAAGCAACTCTTGCCAGGTGCTGCACAAGGTATTCGAGTGTTCTGAAAGATTGCATTTAAAAGTAAAATATGAAGGTATATCTTCTGGTACATCTCCATTCAATAAGCCATCTATCATTATCAAGTAAGGAAACCAATTCACTCATTTCCTTGCATCGATAATGAAATGGAAGGTATTTCAATTCTTCATTTATGATCTATGGTAAGTATCCCTTCTACGAGTATAACAGGAAGAGTATGTAACATTTTTTTTATATTGAGCTTAAATCTCATCTCTTATCTTCTACTGCAAATACCTGAAGAGCTTTAAGTAAGATGTGTTCATCAGTGAAGATAAGGGAAATTTGTACAGTATATGAATTTACAGTAATTGCTTAACGGTCTTCTTGATCAATCTATTAAGAATGTGCAATAAGGAGAAGAAAATAGGAAAACCAATAGTATTTTGAATTGGTCCAAAAATCAACAGTGTATAATACACAAACTGTTAGTCACTGGAGCATGGTTGAGTCTATCAATCAATCAAAAGTGCCATCCTCATATATTTGATGGTTGGCAACCACAGTATTCTACTCTGATCATTTTGTGGTTAATTTTATCGATCCTCTGAGACATTGCATCTCTGTGGACCCAGGTTTTAATTTCATTCATCCATCAAGATCTTTGCCTTCCCCTGGCCCTCCTACCCTCAATTTTGCTCATTAATATTTCTGTTATTATCACCTCATCCCTGATTATATGACCAAATACAGTAGTAATGCCATTTCTTTATTCTATAAATTTCAAGTATTTCTCTTGAAGGTTTTGCTAATCTTAACACTTCTTCATTGTTTTCTTGTCAATGTGTGTAACAAAATAATAAACTACTTTATTAAACCACCAGTGCAATTAAATATTTAATTCTGTATGAAGTACCGTAATTGATATCAATGAACTAATTCCTTAAATTTATAATTTTTCACCAAAAAAAAAAGGACAGTTTTTAAGTATTGTGGTGTTGTATTTAATAAATTTTAAAGCAATGGTAAATATAATGTCTCATCACTGTAGTAGAAATTACCAATATTTTACTTATGTATTCACCATAAACTGGACATCTACCGAAACATCTCTCAGATAATATAGGAGTACAGTAGTGTTTAACAAAGAGAACTAACCTATAGTGTGGAGGAGGCAACTGTTGAACCACATCTCTTAAGTACAAAAGCCTTATGTCCTCATCCCGCATCACAGCTTCCACAAATTTCTCATACAGCTGATAAGTCAGGAGAGGATTAGGCAGCTCTCGAAAATACATCTTGAGCACTGATGAAACACAGTGTATGTCTTGAACAATGCTATCGTCCCCATATAAATCAGGTATCCTATCCTCGTCAAAAGCATTTCTGCAAAATCAAGAACTTATGATTAACCGAAGCATTATATTTATTTAAAACACCTTTTTTAAAAAGTAATATGTATACTGTATTGTATACTTTATGTCCACAAGATATACAGTACAATGGGATGCATTAATTTGGTCAGAGCACTACGTTTATTAACAATACTGTGCCCATTAATAGTAAACTTAAATATCACCTTAATTTCTGGATGTTAGAAGTGATGCCGGAGAGCCGGTAGATACCATCAACAACACCATGGCTCTCCAGAAACTCTGAACAGCACCGCAACACCATAGGGATTTCATGGCCAGAATTTAACAGATGCTCTCCCAAGTCACAGCCAAACACCCGCTCACGCAGGATACCAGACTGCTTCAGCTTCCGCCGCGAGGGTCGAGACAGAATGAAGCTCCTAAAATTTAATTGAACAAGCATTTAGAAGTGAAAATGTTACAAATCTTATTACAATAATCACAAAACATGTGAATGTTAGAATTTCTAAAACTAGAACCCAACATACAGTAAAGTACAGTACTGTGTTGTATTCAGTATAATAGAACACCATCAATGACAAATTTGTTGCCTAGAAAATGATTTCATCCCTTCAGCCATTTTAAGTGTTTGCAAACACTGCAAGTTAATTTTTATAATGCAGTACAAGACAGTACTGTACCATAACTTTGATAATCAGGCTATTGAAGCTATACCAACTTACCTTACTCATAGTACTCATACTTACATGCTCTCCATCTTGTGACTATTCCGCCTAAACAACTCAACAGCCTCGAGGTAGTGCAAAATGAAGCCATGCGCATCATCCTAGGTTGTCCAAAATCAACCAGAATTGTAAACATGAGGAAAGAGCTCGGACTGCCCTCCCTATCCGAGAGGATAGCTTTACTTAATACCATGTTTTGTGTCAAAGTTTTGAAGAACAATGGTTCTCCAACTACAGCTCAAACTGAGTTGATGTTCTATCTAAGTAATCCCGACCATCTCGCCAACCTTCCACAAAAGACTCTCTTTGGGGCGTGGCTTCATAACAGTGTTGCAGATCTCTTGAAACTGAATGTCCCAATCACCCCAGACGAACCTATTAATGCCATTCCTCCTTGGCTGGATATATCAGTTCCTATTAATTACACTCCTGTTGGTAGTAAGCAAATGTTATACACCGATGTGGTGAGATGTGTCACACTAGAAACTATTAACAGACACATGGAGAGTATTAAATCAAGTGAATGTTATGCTTTTACTGATGGTTCTGTGCAGACAAACACAGGTAGAACAGGCTGTGCAATTGTAATATATAAAGAAAAAGAGATGATAGTGTCAAACAAACAAAGGCTGAACAACTGGGCCAGCACAACACAAGCTGAACTAACTGGAATCTACTTAGCCACAGACTACCTCAAAGAAAATGGAGGTGGGGTGATATTCTGGGACTCTCAAAGTGCTTTGAAATCAATGAACAGCCCGTCAGGTTCTATGTCTAAAGTTGTATGTGATATTAAAAGGAATGTGATAACTGCCAATGAGAACAACTTTCGTATCGAATTTGTGTGGATTCCGTCCCATGTTGGAATCAGGTATCATGACCGTGCTGATAGACTGGCCAATGAGACATGTAAGAAAGAAAATGTTGACCGTGACCTTGGCCTGTCCAATGCTGTAATTAAAAACATTCAAGTCAGAATCATGAACTCTGATCTAGAAGAAGTGAGAAATGCAGAGAGACCTGACAGTTGTAGCATTAGTAAATATGACAAATTTTGTGACAAGAGGTACCGGTATGGCCAGCATAAAGACAGAACCAGACAATGTGATGTAGTCGTGGCCAGAATTAGGCTAGGATACAGACACATCTGGCAAGTTAGTAACGCTGTACCCATACTGGAACACTCAGCATGTAAACTTTGTGATAAACCTTTAAAGCATACCTGACTTATTGTATCTTGAACTATGTAATTACTTCATTGAATCAGGTGTGCTTGAGGACATTCTTGCTGTTTATCCCAAATTTGCTAGCCCACACTGATTAGTCTTCAATTAGAATATGACTCCAATGTATGTGATCCACTGGCCTATATATACTGCTAATGAATATGATGTATTTCTTTCTTTGTGTACGAACCTCTGTCCTGCGTGGCAGTGAACAGTGGCATTACCCACATGAATCTGACCTATATATAGTGTCAATGAATATGATGCATTCTTTGTGTATGAACCTCTGTCCTGTATGGCAGTGAAGAGTGACATTACCCACATCAATCTGACCGACGTATATGTATGTATGTGTATGTGTGTGTATGTGTATGTGTGCATATGTGTATATATATGTACATGTATATGTGGATGTGTATGTGTATGTGTATGTGTATATGTATGTATATGTGTATGTGTGTGTGTGTGCACATATATGTATATGTATAGTCAATGAATATGATGCAACTCTTTTGTACGAACTTCTGTCCTGCATGGCAGTGAACAGTGACATTACCCATATGAATCTGACCTCTATACATTTATAGTTGTTAATGAATATGATGTATTTCTTTGTGTATGAACCTCTGTCCTGCGTGGCAGTGAGAAGTGATACCACCCTCAGTGTCAAGACCAGACTGAATTACTCAGAATAGGCAAACAGTACTACAAGCTCTGCCAATAAATTTGTTAAACTAAAAGTACTCATACTTTCTTAACTAATGCAACTGAAAAAAAGTAATTTTACAAATGTATAGGAGAATTATTTACAACCGTTTTGCATTTGAGACAGGTTCTGGAAATTCCACTTTGGCTTCCTAGCATTTAATTAGCAGCTAAGGATTCCCTACACCTCTCATCCCCATATGCACAAAAATGGAACTTTGACAGATGATGGCCACCGTCCCAGACTATGGTTAACTTCCTCTGATGATAGCCACCATTTAAGGGTTAATAACTGACTATCACTCTCAAGCTATGGGTCGTGACTCATTGGTAGAGAAACATATTGCCCTTCAAGATATTGTTCTGCTGTGTGGTACGGTTTGTCTTCTGGGCACTGCCAAACTCTACCCACAGGTATTTCAAATTAAACCATCTCTTGCAGGTCAGCTGTAAGTTTCATATGCCATGGGAGGCTATAATGCTGTTGTATTTACTTGGAATGGAAGTTAAACAAGTACTATACTGTATTGCCCATCACCTTACTTACCTAAAGAAGGCTATGAGTTTGCCATGCTTTCTCAAGACTGGCTTGGTAGGAGCTTGTGTGCCTGAATGCAGTGTGTGGTGCTGATGCGCAGCAGCAACAGGCGGTTGTGTCCGGGCAGGAGGCAATGTCAGAGTTTGGGGTTGGATTGTCTGTGGCACCTAAAAAAAAGTTATATGCCTAATTATACTACAGTATACAGGGGGTCCCTAACTTATGAACGCCCGTCAATATGAACGGGGTTAAACTTGAAATTGTCAGTATTTTATTTACTCGACTTATTTTTTACTTTCATTTACTGTATTTTGCCATTGTATTTCTTATTTTCTCTTAAATTAAGTGACAGTGGGATTTTAATCATTGTTCCATAAGTACAGTATGCACATAGCACGCGTTGCAACTTCGTACATTTCCAACTTAAGAACATCCTCAGGAACGGAACCCAGGGACCCCCTGTACTGTACCACTTGGAAAACATTCAAATTAATTTTTAATCACACTGCTTAATCTGTCTTGATTACAGACATGTGCAAAGAATTATTCGAGATATATCACTTCAATTACCTAAGGAGATTGAAGGCCTTGGAACTGACAACCCTTCAAACAAAATGACAGAGCAGACCTCATAGAGAAGTTCAAAATTCTGGGATAGATAATTTTTATCTATACCACTTGTTCAAAATATTAAGCCTATTCCAATTTCAATGTCTATTGTTGGAAAGCTGCATAAGCTTTATTATTTATTTATATTCATCGTTTTTAAAGCGCTGTACAGGTTTCAAAGTTTGAATAATATTGTATGAATGTTTTAATTCAAATTCCAAATAAAAAAAATACACTAGGGGTATGTAATTATGCCCAACTTTTTTTTTACAGTATCTGACAATACATTGCATATAGAAAAAAAATAACTTACAGGTATTAAAAAATCACAAGGTGTATTACAGGATCAGACACATGGCAACTCTCCTGTGTGTTACAGGTTCCGGCTCACAAGGAAGCCATAACGCAAATGAATATTTCTAGTTAATTTTTGTATGTGTAAATCTCTCAAAAGATAAAGAACTGTCCACTGATTGGTCAAACCTGATCATGAGAAGCTCGCATGAATGTGAAATGAAAATAATGTCCCCCGAAAGTGACTGCAACTTAAAATCTGTCAATTTTTTTTTTAAATGATCCAGTCTACTGTACGTATATCACACGTGAAGGAAGTAAACACGTCTGGTTTTCTATGAAAACACACAGAAAACAAGGAGAATCACTTTTTGCTATATATATATATATATATATATATATATATATATATATATATATATATATATATATATATATATATATATATATATATAAAACCAGGACAACGATAATCCCAATAAAAGAAAGAGGGAGAATAGTGACACTGATGATAATTCATTAGTATGATATATTATAAAAATACTATATTAATGATTAATAATAAATCTAGGATGAAGGCCTAAATTACATATCACAAAAATAATAATCTTGACTAACCTTGTCGCCGATGACTTGGACACACTCACAGGGGAAGAAGCCCACCTGGAATCCTCTCTTACCCCGCCACCATATGGACTCCTCGGGTGGCGGCATGTCGATCACACTGATCATGTCGCCAACCTGAAAATAACCACAACCATAAATACCTGTCCCACTTTTTCATAATAATATCAGTACTGTAATTCAATTTAAGAGACCCAGCAGACACTGTGTACAACCTATACAATACTATATGGATCAATGATATAGGTGTCTGTCGTAACAATACAATAATAATAATACAAAATGCGATTACACTTAATTTCTATTACTAACACACAAACACACACGGCGCCCGCCATCTGTACGTTTCCCTCACGAAGCGAAAAAACAAACACATTTCTTCCCTAACCAACAGATGACAGCATACCTCCATCTTCAATCCAGAAGTTTACAAGTCTCCTTTATTTACCCCCCAAAGCTTGTAAGAAACACCACTTTATTATCTTCCACCTAAATAATAACAAGAAAATGCCCCCCAAATAACCTATTTATTAGGGGTTACAACAAACACTAATTTATCACCTTCGTTACACTTAAAATACCTTTCTCTGATTTCTTCCTTTATCTTTCGATGTTTTAATCCTTCCATTCCTACTCATCCTTCCTCAACTATATGATACAAAGTGTAACAGGAAGTAGACACACTGCTGAACTATTCGAGTGCTGTTTTAGCCACTTTCCACTATGACGCCAACGGCTATGTTGGAGAAGGAAAATAGCCAACTCATCTTTAGTAATAATAATGTCGAGTTTTTTTTCTTCTCAGGGCTGAAAACTGAAGTATCCATTTTGGAGTGATTTTTGGTGGTTAAAATTATCACAAATCAGCCTGAATTTAACGCAACCTTTTTATATCTAGATAGAACGTAAAGTATACAAAACTTATAACATCACATGTAAGTTTGATTTAGCACGCCATCGTATTTCAACCGTTCTGGAACTTATTTTTCAGCCAATTGAATATTTTTCGTATTTACATATTATTTATTCATCATATAACCTTAACTGATCTTATTCCATCCCTATTGTAACTTTTTCTTTTAATATTGAGAGAGAGAGAGAGAGAGAGAGAGAGAGAGAGAGAGAGAGAGAGTCAAATCCTTGGCTTGGCTGACTGGGATGGTGGCAATAGCTAGGCGTGGATCCTGAAGGAGAGGACCCCATGGTTGGCCCAGGTGTGGGAACAAGATAGGCGGGGCACCCCCACCAGTACCCAGGAGGGTGTGTGGGCGAACCTAGCCAGCCTACGCCCAACCTATCCACCTGTCCTGCCCTCCTCTTCGCCTGCCCAGCTATCTTCCCCTCCAGGCTCCATCTCACCTGTTTGTGACAATGTAACCAATGTTAATGCCTAAGACAGTGTGCGTATGTGTGGTTATGTTACAGACAAAATCCTGAACTCTTCGTGATACAGCAGCCAATGACTGCAATTCATAGGTGGTGTGGTTACGAAACTGTACTGCTTTGGGGAAACTGGCTGTAGTAGTAGTGATATAATGCTGGGGATGTGTGTACGGCCCGAATGTACTGTGTGTGGGATGACGAACTGTTGTGTGGAATTAATAATATGGAAAAGGCAACTAAGAACGAAATAGAATTTAACCAAGATAACACACACGCACACACACACCTGTAAAGGCGTGGAGGGAGGGAGGAAGCAGGTGAGAGACTTGACCACCAATGTCATGAGGGAACAACACCATGAAGTCATAAAATGCGCGGGGTGGAGACCTGCCAGCTGCCCGCCAGTACAGTATTGTATTCCCGCCACCGCTTGCTCGTACTTACAAAACAGCATAACATACTAGGTAAGGTGAGACACCCACTTCCGTGCTTTGTGTAGCAGTGAGACAGGTGTCCAGGGGCAGATATGGCATAGCCTTGACGGTCAACCAATCACAGAGACGTTCTCACAGCCAGCACAACCAACACCCAATCACAGTACCACACTCAAGCCCAATCGGACAGCAACTTATCGCAGAGACGTACTTAACCCTATTAAGACGCCGTCAATCACTGCCCCAAAAGGTAGCCAATCGATCATGGGGTTCTACACGAGCATGGTGCGATAACCAGCCAATTTCTGTGCCCCATAAGGAAAGCAACCAATGACACCGATCTACATAGCAGGACAACCAGCCAATAACAAAGCCGCAAGCCAATACAATAAGACGATCGACCAATCAGAAAACTATACAGCATTTCCCACACCGCCTGCAGCCCTTTCACCAACCCTGACATTCATTTGAACAACGGATAAAAACGTAATTAATTTTCCCGCCACAACAGCAACGTCAAAATTTTTAAATGTCAACAATAAATTTTCTTATCTGAAAACCTATAAGAACTCGGCAGCGGGAATGAAACAAGACAATATTCAATTAACACAACGGAACTTATTATTGACGTAAATGAAAGACCAAATATAGAAATAAATCACGAGTGGAATAGATTTAAACCTAAATTAGTATTCCCTGTAACTGATTTAAGGCAAGGAACAGTAAATTACAACTATATTTCAGGACGGGAGAGGAAGAGGAGAAGCAAATGGCGGTAAAGACACATGATAAGAATAAAGACACATCACTAGGCTGGGTGGCCATGTATCAGCAGGCCGGGGCAGTGCACTAGACTCCTGAGGGTGAAGGCCAGAGTATGCACACTGAGGAGACACACCTGCTTGGCGGGAGTCGGATGAACGAGAGGTACAAGCCGGTCGGACAGCCAGAGGAGCCGGATTGTACAAATTATATATTCTAACTAATGACGCATGAATGCACACTAAAAAGTTGACTTAACACTTACAATAGAGTTACAAGTTTTCTTACGTGATTCGCTTAAAAAAATTCTCTATCTTAACTTCGTTTCTTCAAGTGCCAAGTAGAATTTCAGTCATATTATTACTATTTTTTACACTTTTTATCTGAAGCAAACTTAACCTCAACCTATCCTAACCTGACCTTCACAGAGTTATGAGATCACACTACCGACTGACTTAAAATATAAGACTATAACGTTAATTCACACATCAGCCCCTTCCCCTTGGTTTGTGGTAAGCCTACACCATGAACTGGAAAATTGCACTTATAGAAATTCAATCTTTAAAATTCACAAGGTCTGGAAATTCATGAATGTTGATTGATGTTCTTTGAAATGTTGTAAACATTTTAAATAAGATAAATAGTTAATAGTAATTCTGGCACATTGGGGACACAGGTGTTGGTCACAGGTGTGGCTCATACTGGTAGCTACACCTGTTTTGTCACCCTACACCTGTATATATACCCGAAGAGGAGTATGAAACAGTGAATAAAAGAACACCTGATGATGGTATAATTAGTGATAACAAAGACACAACAACTGATGATGATAAAGACTTGCAAGAAAAAACAATAACGAAGAAATTTAATCAATACCTTTAAAAAATATATATTTATTTTAACTAAACACATTGTATCATCATCCTAATTAATTTCATTTTCGGGTTTCTTAAATATAATGTAACTCGTCACATTTTCTACCCAGGTTTAATAACTCATTAGCTACGTTTCACCTGTGATATACTGTGACTCACCTGGAACCGAACTTAAACTCCAAATATAAAATGTTAATATAAATCAATAGTCATGTATATATTAATCTAACCTAACTTTGTGATGTATAAGTGTTCTATATTTAATTAATTTTACATCTTTAAACTCCTGACATACGAGAACAGGTGTTTAGAAGTGAAAAAGAAAAATGGTGGCGAGAGTGAACAAGCCAGCAAGTGAGAGCTGTACTGAAAATGACAGTGCGTGTGTGTGTGTGCGTGTGTGTGTGTGTGTGTTCCAGGAGGCAGGTGTGTGGTCCAGGGGGCAGGTGTGTGGTCCAGGGAGCAGGTGTGTGGTCCAGGGGGGCAGGGGTGTGGTCCAGGGGCAGGGGTGTGGGTCCAGGGGCAGGGGTGGGTCCAGGGGCAAGGTGGTCCAGGGGCAGGGGTGGTCCAGGGGGCAGGGGTGTGGGCCCAGGAGGCAGGGGTGGGTTTAGGGGCAGGGGTGTTTCCAGGAGGCAGGGGTTTAGGGGCAGTGTGGTTCAGAGGCAGGTGGGTTTCCAGGGGCAGGTGTGGGTCCAGGAGGTAGGGTGTGGTTAGGGGCTTAGGGGCAGGGGTGTGGTTCAGGGGGCAGGGGTGTGGTTCAGGGGGCAGGTGTGTGGTTCAGGGGGCAGGGGCAGGTGTGTGGTCAAGATGACAGGTGTGTGGTCCAGGGAGCAGGTGGGAGCGAGATGAAAGTGGTGTGAGCCATGTGCGTGTGTGTGTGTGTGCGTGCGTGCGTGTAGACTCGGCCACTCGCTGATTATAAACATAACTGAGGCTCGGCACACACACACACACACACACACACCTGCTGAGTCTCTTTGTGAGGTTATAAGCCATTGTGAGAGATTGTGAGTGCCAGTGTGTGTGAGTGGTATGACAGCGGGAGGGAGGGAAGGGGAGAGGTGGAAGGGAGGTGAATGGAGGGAACCTGGTCACAAAACAGGTACTACATATATGGTAAAGGCCAAAGCCAGGCCAGCTGACTCACCCCCATGCTCCTGTACATGCTCCTCCCCATCACCCCCCACGCTCCAGTACATGTTCCTCCCCATCACACCCCCACACACCCAGCCCAGTACATGTTCCTCCCCATCACCCCCACGCTCCAGTAATGTTCCTCCCCATCACCCCCATACCTTTACACACACACACACACACACACACACACAGGTAAGGCTGGTAGGCAGGTAACTCAGGTAATACAGCCGCTGCCACTTGATATGCAAAGTTAAACAGGGGATATAAATTGCCGTGAGGAGAGGCCATATATTGTTCTGACGCGATGGAGGAAGGCACGAGTCTCGGCAACCATTAAAAGAACAACCACATAAAGGACAACCATAAAAGGACAACCAAACTAACCATTATAAAGGTAATTGGTCTTTGGTTGCTCTTCTAAAAGCTATCAACCACAATGGCCAAAAATATTCACAATTTCCCCCCAATGACCAAAAATTTCGTAGTTCTTCCTCCACAAGTTAAGACTCCAGGACCAGATAGTATA